TTGGTTTTGAGTGGAGACTCACCTGGAACCCAACTAGATCTCCCGTTTATGACGTTCTTGAACAACTGAATGTGATGCTTAAGAACATCATAAACGAGAAACGCAGCTGGATTCTCGTCAAGACAAAACTGGTGTGCAAACGAGTGTATTCTGCTGAGGCCGCATGTTTTTTTGTTTCTCCAGGAGTAGCTTCCTAAGTGGAGTTTGATGAAGTTTGATGTACGTTACTCAGCTCATCTCACATATAAGACTACTGTAAAGATGGCTTGCACAAATCCTAACCCCATGGTGATTCAGAGAATCTTTTTCACCAAAATCAATAAGTGTTGCATAAACAGTCTGTAATAGTTCACTATAACACGACAAACACTGGAACTACCAAGCAGCTTTGAGGAGGAGTATGTCTAACTTCCATTGCAGTAAAAGTACGATTACATGGTTCATTGCTTGCAATTGACTTCCATTGTTCGCTTATGTCAGAATAGATAAGAAACCGCTAGTTTGCTCTACTTAGCCCGTCTTGTTTGGCCGTTCAAACATGCAGGCTTTTTGTGATTTCTTTACAGGTCGTCAGGTTCTTGGTAGTCCTTATGATAAAGCAATGTTGGTCCACTCGTTGATGCAAAAGTGGATTTCCGCATATGGGAATCAACAAATAGATCTGGTGCGAGCGTCTGGTGTGGACTTTCCAAAAACCATTCCTACGGATTGACTAATCGGTATGATTAGATGCAACGAAAGTCTGCCGTCGTACATTTTCCGACAAATAAAATAAGCCAGAGCATGCTTGGTCTCAGTAACTCATGACCAAGTTTGTACGTTTGTGTGTATGTGTGTGTGTAGAGCTCACGTGTTCCGGCACGAGATACGAAGTTATTCACGATAGTTTTGGAACGTTGCATGCTTCAACCCGTTTGTACCACATGATATTTGTTATCCAAAATGATTTTTTTCTGGTTCGTGAGGCGTTATCTGATTAAAGTCCAAGTATGGGTTATAGGATTGAACCCCACCAACATCAATCGCATTTGGACTGTCCTCTGCTTGCACTAGGGTAAGCATTTCGACCCAGTGTTTAGTGAGCAAGTAGGTGGGTCACGTTGTTAGCGTGTACTACATCTATTTTATGCCGGGCCATGCAAATATGCGACAGTTGATATGTAGAGAAAAATACTAGGACAAGAGTCTTAAAGCATCAAAACGGAAATTTAATTATGACAGGACTTTAAATAAACACATCAAGGAGAACCCAGATGTCTTATATTCATGATAGATCGTCTTTGGATCTCCGTTCGAATGATCAATAAGGACGGGACAAATCAAATGAACAGCAACCTGACGTAAAGGCATGCAAAATCCATGTTCAAGTGCAACCGCTTTTGGATACACTTTTGATGGTGTATGCCGTGCACATTCAAACTACCCCACCAGAAAAGACTGAAACTTGATACGGTTCACTACAACGCCATGTTAAGACTGACTGCCAGAACGTCCGCAGCTAAGAGTGCATGGTTCGATGATTGCCTAACCAGTGTACTACTATGCTGAGAGAACATCTTAAACATATCTATATTCATTAATAATTGGGATATTCTACAACCAACGTGAAAACAACTTCGTGAAATGTATCAATAACATGTAGAAGAAAAAAGTCAGGACTGATTAAATCTACGTCAGACGTTTCTCAGTGTATCACTCATATCATCTACTGAAAACTCATTTTCCAGGTTTCCGCCCTGAGGAATTTCACAACTCTATCGGTCGGAACGACGTGAGTTAGCCTTACGGAGGCGTCACCCCTGCTTCAAATCATTTGGCCTCATACGAGTTGCTGAAACTATGGCGCCCACTATGACGGGGAAGGTTTCAAAATGGGATTCCTTATCGTGGAATATCGGTGTTTTTGGAATTCTACCGGATACCATCGGAAGCAACACTGGGGTAGTGATAATAGTTTATCTGCAGTGAAACATGCTGAGGTCAAGGATGACTATCCTGGATGTAAGTTGAGGGGTTAAAAAACCAGATGGCTGCTAAAGTCCGATTAGGCTTCCGTCGTGGGTGGAGCGTTTTAGGATTAGAACAGTTATGCACACGCAGACGCACACTTTATCGACCTGCGTTGTTGCCGAAGGCATACATGGTGACCTACTTTGTTGCACGACAGATTATTTAACCTCTAAACTAAGCATGACACCCAAGTTTTTTATCGATCCAGGTCCCTCAGAACACTTTGCGGAGATGAGTTTTGTAGTCGAATCGACAAAAATTGATAGCCTCAGGTTGATGTGCCATGGATTGCCAGAAAATTTGACACAACATTCACCTCAACACGTGTCATATTAGAACAGATTTTTTGCGGGGCTAGTGTTACCTGGACGTTCATCCATATAACTCCGTTAGGACTGGTTAATGATTTTGCCCATCTTCTGTAACTTTCTTAGTGGTATCAGAGGGGATGTTGAGCCGTTGTTTACTAGTGGAATGAATCTTGACCGAAATTCCACCAAATGACCTGGAGCACAATGTTCCAACTCAATCAAAAGTTCACCTTGTTGTAAAACAGCATCACCTTCGCCTTCCTGAAGGTGCACTTGTCTGAAGTTACTCAGAAGTGATTACAATAAATCACTCTTACCTTTCTTGCTTTTGAATTAGATAAGAAATCTAAGCATCACGGAGTCATTAGTTCAGGTTTTACCACATGAGTCGATCTTCAAGGAGGACTTATTGGAATGTAAGATGCGGTTGATTCTGAACACTGTCCTTGTCTGTGTAGTGATGCACTGAGACTGATTACTTCTTTCTTTGTAAGGAGATTTTCAAGTGTGATGTAACATGTGCTGTGCAGGTTCTGACAAGACAGTGATGTACTGATGAGCGTAGAACTAATCCAACCACGTCACAGATGCAAATGAATTATTCGTGTACAACAAATTGTGCAAGCAAGAAAACTTTTCAGCTTTTAGTGACAAGAGGCCTCAGAGTGGTGTATCCTAAAAAGAAAACTTTTCAGCTTTTAGTGACAAGAGGCTTCAGACGGAGTTGATGAAATAATCGTTTAGGATCATTCGGTTAGCTTATTTTTTTATGCAATTATACTTGTACGTTGAAGCAGAAAATCGAACAATTGACTTCAGGAATTTCAACGAATCGATGCTGCTCAGGAGAAAAAGTGTATCAGACTGCTTCATAAGACAGAGAGTATTCGGTTTCCTGGTGCAAATTTTTTGTTAGATGATGATAAGCCACACAACTGGGACTTTAGTGAGACAGGGTGGAATTAGTACAATATACCATGACTTTGTGGCTTTGCCCCATGCGAAGACAAATACATTTCTACGTACAGTCCACTTTCAGCCAGTATTTCTTTGTGGATCAGGCAGTGGGTAGCGCGGGATTTTCACACAGGCTGGTGCTGCTGACCACTTAACCTGGTTATATTGGGTTGATAAAATGTCTTACGTACATCCTTCTGCATCCAACATCAATCGGAGCCGACATTGTACTATTACAGGCGCTCCGGCACAATAACAAGATGTTCAGGCTTTGCCGGTTCACCTGGTAAATTAGCTACCAGTGAAGAACAAACGGCGAGTTTATCAAACGGTGACTGACGTGGACGGAGCCTATTTGGTGTCGAACATTACTCAGTATGTAATAGTGGTAAACGCCATACGTCGGGACAACAAACTCTAAGATGAAGTCCATTGTATCCGTTTCAGATTTTCCGTGCAACTTAGTTTGGTATAACAAGCACCATCAGTACTGTACTAGTATTGTCCCAATACTATTGACGACGAAGGGCAAATAGCCACTCTGAGCATATGGCAATGAGAGCTTAGGGATATGTGCACGACTGGAAAAAATGAGCCTGGGTTCTTCAGTTACATGGATACGTATGAAGGCCGGACACCATTTTAAACCAAAACTTGATGCGACCATTTTGCAACACATTCAAGTGAGGGACATCATAAACCGTAGTTTCATCTAGGTGTCCTGTTAACATCATCCTAATTTATAGAATAATGTTGCATTCCACAAACGGTAGAATCCTTGATAGATAGTATTATTTCAAACAAGCCCTTAGCATCTATTAAGAAGAAGATTCATTGCGGCACTATTGAAAGAAGGCTACGTGAGAGCCCTATCAGTTGGTTGGAGGAAACTGGCAACTAACGTGGCCCGCTAACCACCAACCAGAAGTCACTATCTGATCCATCATTGGTAATGATCAAGTATCAGCAGAAGTCTGTGAAGATTGTGGACCTCAAACTAAGTAGTATACTGATATGAGAAGCTTATAGACCAAATGGGGATACGTAGACAGTGCTTTGGCGAATCAGTTGCTGACACATTTAACGTAGCCCTAGACAGACAACGAACCACAATCAACAAACCAAGTGTCACGTGACCGAAAGAAGGCCAAAGTCATATCGAATTGGTTACCCAGAAGAAATTACATTACAGAAATAACTGTACCAAACTTCTTGAAATAATCGAAATTTTTTCATGAACTATTACTCCTGTTCCTTACGCAAACTTAAAAGAAAATAGAAAATTCTGTAAATGGAGGTTGTGTTTGGTTGAAACCCAGACATAAAGGACGACATCAGTATCGCTGAGATCACCATGTGTGGTAAGAATGCCTGAATAACCAGGCTGACAGAAATGCACAGTATCGACCGTCGTCCGGAATTAATGGAGCATTTACTGAGTTATCTTAGTAAACACATATGTGCACTTGAGCAGCGAACGCAGAAATCTGAACTGTAGAGTATACGGGACCAGCCATGTCAGAATCGTACAGCACATCTAGCACACAACCTGCGGATAGTGTTCAAGGAGAATAGCGATGGGAATCCTGTTGGCTACATTATGTGGTAGTCTTATGTCAACCGAGGGGGACTCACTCTGATAGACAAAAGCAGTCTGACAAATACCAGCAAACGAGACACAACGAAAAATTTCGTCACAAAGCCGCGACAATAATGACCTACCGAGCATCCTTGGGATGATGAACAAGACCTGAAGTTCGTTGTTGCGTCTGACTTTCTCCTGAAACACCCTGCTTTTTCACACGCATCGGTTCGGCAACATGTTGAAGTTGTGCACTGATTTCGTCCAGTCCTACAGCCTGAGTAGAAGCTTGTATAGCATCTTCTGGTATGGCTTTAGAGATCTGAATTCCACGAATAGGTTGAGTAGGGACCTTCTGATCAAGCACAGAACGAAGCTTGTGGATATCACGCTCTCTAGCACTGACAGTCAGCTTTGATTGATGAAGTTCAGCTTCAAGCCAACTAATCCTTTCAGTGCATACACGAACATCTTGCTTTAATCGGTTGATAACTGCAATCAACTCGGTCACCTCGTATGTTTTCCCATCAATTATCACAGTTTGAGAATGTTGATGACGATGGTCTGAACCTGCCTGTGGTTCTACGAATCCAAAAGACACATGAGGATTTAAGCTACTATAAGTTTGTTGATCGTCCATAGGATGTCCGATGGAAGTTTCTTCCAGAAGAATAGAATTGTGCTTCACCGGCTCATGAGGGGTGCAAGCCGAATCGAACAACGTACCGCTTCCTTCCATAGGGGGTTCTGATATCATTGCAGCCTTCGGAAGATTGCTAAACTTAGTTGAACGCAGGATATATGGGTTCGGATGGTAGTATTTCCGGCTGAAGCGAGTTGATTGACGATGAGTTCGGCAACGTGCTGTTGTGCTCGATGACCCTCCAAATTTTTCGTAATTTGGAATTTCCAATCCTAGTTCCGAAAACACACTCGAGTCGTCTAGACTCACGGAATTCGATGCTCTGAATACTGTAGAACTGGCTTCACTTTTACGATGGTGTTTGTGATTGGGCATAAAACTGCCAGAACTTGAATTGTCCTTGCCAAGGCAAGGTTAACTTGAGGCCGACTATTTCACTGTTGAAGTTTGTGGTATGTCAGAAATTGTTGGACAACGTAGTTCCACTCGAAATCAGCAATCGAAACGAAAATATCGGGAACTGAGTTTGAGCCAAACCACGCTGTAGAACCCCACTTTCTTTTGGTCACTTTCACAGAATACTCCAAGTATGAATTTGTGGTTGCTTAGGTGGGGGTAGATGTTCAAGTTTTCCGACAAATTCGACGGCAATTTCCAGAGGACCAATGGTCATTGGGCAATGAGACCACAAGCAATGCCTCCAAGAGGCATTATTCCCATTGGTGAAAGCAAACTGTTACCTGATTGGTTCATAAATCGGGTGACATCTTTCGCTGCTCGCGTGATTGCTGGCACGCTGGCCATAAGATTTGACGACCTCTTCTGCGGGTTCGACAGCACACACAAACTCATTCGTCTCTGCGTTTTGTGTGCCGCGTATGTTTGCTGATCGCAAGACAATTATGAATGCACCATTTTGAGTACCAAACCCACTACAGCATCACGACACGATGGCATTCATCCACTATAACGAGATCAAAGCTAGGTTCAGCGCTTAAGCGCCGTAGTGCGCTACGCGACAATGGTAACTGCCGATGAGCGTGGGACTGACAGGAATGTCGCCAACACATCGCGATTGGTGATTGGCTGTGTTTACCTGAACCCATAGACGAAGCAACCAATCCGGACTGAAAAATGTAACATGTTGCAGGATAGCCTCTGATAGCGACGCAGACAGTCAATCGGTGATTGGCATGTGCTGCTAGTCAAAAGGAACAAGCAACCTTTTCTCTGGTAAACAGATACCAATAAATCACGGAACATTTTACTCAACTAATGGTGGTACGCATAGTTTTCTATGGAAAATGACAGTCAGCAGGGTTGATATCTTGATGAGCTCGGGAACGAAAAACCCTCTGGTCAAGACTATCTAGAACGACATCCCAAAATGCATTTCTAGCAAAGTACTGAGAGTTTGTCGGTGATCAAGTTTTGTCTACGTTTTTCAAACGTTGGCTGAATCAATATCACCCATAGTGATTTATTCATTTCCAGAAAGAAAGAGCCGTTGTGTGTGAAGTTGATATTGTTTTTTTTATTTACTTTGGTTTGTGGCCTAAGTAACTTTCTCTATTTCGTCCGCAGAACTAAGGCAGTCATGTTTAACGTATCATATACCAGCATTAATGTGATATCCGTCTGAAATATTGTCTTTGGTTCGGAACGCTACTTTATTTCTCTTAACTCCTTGGATAAGCTATTAGTTTCAATAGTAGGAAATGTGAAGTGACAACTTCAAAACGTACAATTTTTCCATGATACTAGACAATTTTTCTCCTCGAATCACACCGTCTTGGGAGGTACATGCTCTCAGCCCTACTGCTCAAAATACTAGTGCATGGCTGGATACGAATAGGAAAGACAAACAGATGATATTTTACTAGATCATAAAGCAAAAAAAACAAAAAGTTTAATGTAGATCTTGGTGGGTTCTGGAAAAACTAAATTGAAGAAGTGGTTCTGTCTTTACCACTGTCTTTACCATTAAATGGGGCCAGACAATTGGAACAAATTACAATTTAATTAACACTTTCAATTTGTCCATTCTGAGTGGCGTGTCTGTTTGAGGGTTTTTTCATTTGGGGAAGTTTGTGTCTCGGTGGATAAGAAAGTTCTCGCATTGCTTAGAGTCTCGGTATTCGACGACAACACTATGTTAAACACAAGGTGGAATACCAAGATCAATAAGCTTGTACTTTGCAAGCACTCTGAGAATAACAGTTACTGAAACTAATCAGAAAGAAATTTTCCAACCATTCCCCATTAGTCGGTTGATTTTACGAATTAGTGAACAGCTGGTTAGATAAGTGATCACAACGACTGCGAGGTATTTTTTGCAGCCTGAGATCTTCGTCACCGAGTGAGGTGACTGCCTTGGGGATAGTCAGCAAATATGCACGTGCGAAGTGTAGTATACGTGCGACGTTAGTTTTGTTGCCGATTGGTTCTCGATTTCACCGCATAATCTACTTTTCCTGAGTTCCATTTGTAACTGACGCTTCACATACGTGTCAACTCGAATAACAGTGAAAACCGGCCTATTCGTCTAGATCCAGGAATAAGACCCATATCCTCAGCAGGATTATCGAACTTCAGTGCATGGTACCACCAGCTGGAATGGCGCAAGTGAAAAAAATTTATACTATAACATTGTCCGGGACGTCATTCTCAGATAGTTGAGGAGAGGGTTGGACTCTACGTCGTTAGCAAAACGAACTGGGAAGCATTCTACTCGAAAACTTTATTACACTTCTGTGCAATTAAGGGCATCGCTCACTGCATTCCGTGCGAGTCAGTAGATGCTTACAAGGGTCCAATTTGGTAAATTTGATGCCCCCGTATCCACAGATAGCATTTTGAATGCAGCAGAGATAGGAATGAACAGTTTTCCGACTGGACCTATCCTAATATTCAAACCAATCTTAACATCTGTAAAAATACTAAAGCCTGGAATTCGCTTTGAGCCAGATCTTGACTAGACGTAGTACACTACTTATAAGATTGTGGACAACTCCTCGACAGCCCACGACCGGTTTTACCCTTTTTAGGACTCATCAGGTAGGCGCCGTCGCCAAGTTTCCATTAATCTTGTGTTCTAATTGCACGAAGTCAATTTATACACTCACCTGCTTACTAATTTGGTTTTGATAACATGAAAGAGGGATTTTGCCGGGTTCCAGGTGAGTCTCTTATCAAAACCAATCGGATGTGAGAATGATATTAGAATCCATATCTTGACCAGATCGGATCAGTATATCTGTTTTATCTGCAGTGATCAGGTGGCTATATGAATTGGTCACCTAGTAGTTCATAAGCAGTTTCACAGTTAATTGAAATTCACCAGATTTCGAACTAGTGGCCATAAGCTTTCTCTAAATGTTAGGAAGATGGAACCCTTAATCAAAGGGTCACCTCTGTCATTTAGGTTTCGAAGATAATTAATGCGTTCGTGAGGCTGAAATTTCTGGGATCCAATCACCTTTTTTGGTTTGATTGTGCCATTGTCAAGTCGACAGAGCCACCAGTGTAAAGCTTCTCCGCTAAGGACTGGATTCTTCATGGACCTATATATCTCCCGAACCACAGTACTTACTAGTCCACATCAGGAAATGAGAGTACAAATGCTCCTAGACGTATCGTCTGAGATCCCGAGGACCGGGATTAAACGGGATTAAACGGAAATACTCTGGTATTGTAACTCTCAGTTAGGACAGTTTTATCGCTGAATGACACCTAAATACCGTATGTAAACGTGAGTAACTTTTGTCGACACCTCTCACTGCACTAGAAAGACGCCTTCATACAGACAGAAACACCATATTTACAGACAACAATATTGACTTGTTTGACAGTCAAGAAGGTAGCAGCCATGATCGTCTTTCCCCTCCAATATTAAGAGTTTGGCAAGTAGGGTGTAGTAGTATTATTTATAGGGAAAGTGGACCGCAATACTGTTGGAATTACTTCCCTTGATGGTTGCACTGCTCTTCGTGATGCGAACAATTTATGAACCCGTCACATTCATACTCTTAACTTCTTCTCTCTTCTATGGTACTCCTTCTGAACAGTCGCCTTGTCCGATTGCATTCTCATGATAATTTCTTCTCTCTTCCGCCTTTGGAATTAGACATCTGCTCTAAACATCTGCATTCAAATTGCAGATTGTCAATCATGGATGCTCAAGACTGTACACCTCTGACTCACGTTCATCTCCACGTCATCTCGCGTAGAACGAGACGTCCTTTTTTCTCTCTTGGTTATTGTTTTTTCACTTGTCGACTGTGCACACCGACCTGGATGTTGTTCGGGTCATCATGACTATTCAAGTGCAATGTAGCTGTGGGTCTATCGACGTGAATGAGAGATATCAGTGCTCAACTCTCTTCTCTACCGTGAATCAGCAGAGTGCCAATTTACGACCGCTGGTCGATGCTTTGATTATGGAATGGAAAAAGGCTGAACGAGTATCTGGTCTGAGCCACCGCGCCAAACCGTGTTGGGGTTAAGCGGCTTTTAGCAATGAATTCGCGAAACATCTAACATGTTATTAGAAATCCTCTGCGGTGTTGCACGAATGTCAGTATTTGCTACTTGTAAAGCATAAAAGATTGGAAACAAAACTGCAGGAGATTTTGTGAAGGATTGCCAGAGAGAGCCACTACTATGCAGTACACTCGGTAGAAAAAGTTTGCACAAAGAGGTTACTTCAGTCAAGTGAAGAATATGAGGGCCTTCTCTGGTAATTGAGCTAGACCACTGGACGGGGACAGATGTTGAGCTTAGGGCTTAGAAACTCATCGGTGATGGATTTGATAAGCTCAGGGGAATGAAGAGTAGTCTTAGGATGCTACAGAACGTAATTTATATGTATATTTATATATGTATATATGAATATATATATACATATATATGTATACATATCCATACATATATATATATATACATATATATATATATATATGTTAAGCTTTAGCTTTATATGTATATGTATTTATATATGTATGTATGTATGTATGTATGTAT